AAACAAACACAATCTAATGTGGTTATGCATTGTTAGAGATTCTGTATATAATCCTACAGAACTGCACAATCCACATGTGTGTTTATATGCTGCTTCTCTGATAACAGGAAACAGGAACTTTATTACAGAGAAAAGACACAGAGCTTAACCATAGATGCAGCTACAAACTTATAAACACTGCCATCTACTTGTTAAAGAATATATCTCTACTGAACACTGACACTGATGTAGTTGTTGTACAAAATACACGAACATTGTATTCCAACATGCATTCACATAGAAAAACCTGCAAATTTATGTAAACATTCGAAAATTCTAAGTACTAATCAGCTTTAAAATAAGCCTGCTCTTATCTTCCTTAGAGTAGAAGCCAGTAGACTGGATTAGGAAGGGTCAATGCTAGGATCCAATCAGTCCCTGTTGTATGTATGTATAAATCGGATGCTGAAAAGACACTTCATCAATCTGTTGCTGCTGCATTATTGCCAAATCACAAATTGGGGTAGGGAGGTGTTCAAGCTGCATTGCTTAACGGCAGTAGAGAAAAAGTGAGGTGTGGTCACGCTGTGTAAATTTCAGGACTGGTTTGACAAAATTACAAATCTTGTAGTAAACAAATCAGTTATGATTTATTGTTGCTGTTCGTCCAGAGTTCAGCTTAACTATGAAAAGTGTTGCTCCATGAAGCCCATCAACTGCTGGTACACAGGAACAAGATGTTGAGATGCCAAATCTTTAGAGGTATGGGCCATTTAAACTTTCAATAATTGCCTCCATCTTGCAGAGGTGAAATTACTGCCTGTACATTATCAACTGGAGGGATACTCTTTCCTACACCTATATGTCTGGGTTTCTCTGAAAAAGAGGGCCAGAGTTGATCCAGCTGGGGTTTAAACTGAGCCAATGATTCTGCCTGACCCCATACGGCAGAGCTGGGCCAATCACCAAGCACATGCCCCTGCATACCAGGTACTAATTTATTTCTTCACTTCCAGTGTATGAGCAAAGCATTTTTTCCCATTGTCCAGACACTAGATATCTAACTTGCCTTTTTTCCTATAAATTAGCTAGTCACACAGTGTGCCCTTTTTATGCAAAAACTAAAGGAGCATAGCATTACATGTTACTCACAGTGCAGCTGTGCTCAACATAATAATGTCAATTTTCATAAGAATTGAGAATTGTGTTAAGGAAAAGACTATATGATTTTGAGTGATTGGTACTCTGGAGGGGTTGAGAGTTGCTATCTGGAACTGAAGCAAGCATGACGGAGGTGTTGACAGTTAGCAAAGGCTTTCACCGCTTAGGTAAACTGGTGTTTGAAACACATCCTTTGTTAAGCACAACCTTAGATTTAAGCTCTTTCCTTCATTGCTGCCTCCTCCAAAGCAGCAAAGCACTAATTTTCTTTTGGATGGATTACAGCATCCAGACCTACATGATTTTTGGACAGTCTCTTCAAGATTATGCAGATGACAGATGCATTCATTTTAAACTTCAAAAGAAACGATTAGACAGTACAACAAATGGAAACAAACCTGCTTCAATGTGTAATGATTTTTGCATTGTGCTTATTCCCATTGCCAAATCTCTTTCAGGACAGACAAATGAGAAATCAGGAAACATTTTCTATACAAGTGTGCTGGAAAACCTTAACCCATTCTGCATTTTTAATAGCGTTTCATTATGAATGTAAATGTGCAATTCATTTTGGCAGTATTATATTCTTTCCATTTGATTTCACCTTTAGTGGCAAGCCTTTTCTTTTTCCAGGCGTAACTAAGATCAGTTTTCTAAGGTAACATAGAGGTAATGGAAAGCAACAGCGAGAGGATGCTCCCATGGCTTCACACTGTGTACATTTGTTGTTGCTGAGAGGAACATGTTACCATTTAGCTCTCTTTAACCTCTTGTGGACTGTAAAAATACACCGGGTCTGCTCTTATACTGTTCTAGGAGAATATACCATACATCTTCAGGGAACTGTATTCATCTGCACGCTTGCGATTGACCACAGGTAAAAAGTACAGAGCCATCGAGAGTGACACTGTACCACATGATTGCTGCAACCAATCACAGCATCACAGAATATAAACACAGGCTGCCGTTAGCAGCTGCGTGTCATTTAGTGGCCAGTGATCAGGAAGTACTGTTTGCTCCAGGGGCGGACTGACCATTTGGAAACTTGGGCACTGCCCGAGGGCCCGGGGTCAGTAGGGGGCCCCATGAGATGCCCCTGGTACCTTTTTCATAGGCGTTTTTGAGTTTGGGCAAGGACGCAGGGGCCCCATGATCCCCTATTGCCCCGGGGCCACATGAGTTGTCAGTCTGCCCCTGGTTTGCTCTCACACACCAGATGGTGTGTGAGAGTAAAGAAAGCTTTCTGCCCAACAGTCAGTACCAGTACTACAGAGTACACTGCCAACAGTAAGAAACCCTACCCCCTACAGTTCTTCACCCCTCACCAGTATATGTCAGCCCCAGGGGCGGACTGGGATCATGGGGCCCCTGTGTCCTTGCCCAAACTCAAAAAAGCCTATGAAAAATGTACCAGGGGCATCTCATGGGGCCCCCTACCGACCCCGGGCCCTCGGGCAGTGCCCGAGTTTCCAAATGGTCAGTCCGCCCCTGGTCAGCCACATCCTGCCTCTGATGTAACTACAAAAATAACAGATTAACTGGCAGGATCAACAGGTAAATACATCTATGTTACAGGGTGGACTAAAAAAAATAAATACTGTGTTAATGCCAGTGACTGCATCATATATTTTATTTTGCCTATAATTCCAAATTAAAGTGGTAGTAACCTCTATTCTGCTAATTTTACCTACAGGTAAGCTCATAATAAAATTTACATGTAGGTAAAAAGAATATCTCCTAAACGTGCACTCTTTAGGAGATATTTCAGTGAGAAGCAGCCAGTGATGTCACTGGCAAATGAACTCTGAAGGGACAGCATACTCATGCCATCTCTTCAGAGTTCTGTGCGGTGGCCACGACTCCCGTGTGCATGCATGGGAATGATGTCATCATGGCTCGGCCAATCAAATGACTGGAGCCCACAAGACCGGGCAAAGATGGAAGCCCAGCCAGTGACGACAGCACACCACTGACAGTCTTTGTTTCAAGGTAAGTCTCTCATAGTGTGCTAGTATGCAATATGATTTTACCTTGCAGAGATAACTTTTTTTTTCTTGGAGGAACTTTACTACCACTTTAAGTTGGATGGTCTGATGAGGAAACTCCCAAACAATCCTTACAATAACATCTGTTCCATTAAAAGTCACACTTGTATCACCAGGACAAGCATGTAAATGACTATAGATCAGAAAGCATGGTAATACTCCTTGACTCTGGATGCATCTCTTGGTAAACAGACATAAATAAGTAAGTCCAACCAAGCTAACAACTAACTTCCCTAACTAGAGTTTCAACTCAAACCTGAACCTAGCAAGGCTGTTGTCCAATCAAGTCAATCAGCTCATATCATCAGGAACCTAGTGGTGTTTAGCAAATTAGCTATTTTTATGAATGTGTTGAGCGGGGGCGGACTGACAACTCATGGGGCCCCCTGGGCAATAGGGGATCATGGGGCCTCTGTGTTCTTGCCCAAACTCAAAAAAACCTATGAAAAAGGTACAAGAGGCATCTCATGGGGCCCCCTACTGACCCCGGGCCCTCAGGCAGAGCCCGAGTTTCCAAATGGTCAGTCTGCCCCTGGTGTTCAGTAGACACTGTAAAAACAGTCTTCCACAGTTTGTGGAAAAGAAAGTAATCACCCACTGGCTCTCTGTGTCTGATAATAGACAAAACAACTGCAGATGTTTGCCTCTCTGCCTTCAACATTAGCTCAGCTATTATTAAAGTGTATGTAAAGTGAAGGCATTTTTAAGGTTTCGGATTGAGTAGGCAAGAGGTAAGACCCATGTCATCTTTTCTTTTCTTTTTTTGCTGTCTGTCCGGTTAGAAAAGTTTCACTTCACTTTCTGTCTCAGAGACACAGCAGAAGGTAAAAGATAATCTGTTTAAAGCAAAAGGAAACCTCTTCTGTTTCTGTGACAAATGTAACAATGTTGGGTTTCCCATCAATTTCTGCACTGGAGGCAATAAATTCTGACAGGCTTTCTATAGCTCCAAGGAGCAGGGCCCTCCTATACCTCTTGTATTGAACTGTACTGTTGCTATATTGTCTCCCGTTATATTGTAAAGCGCTGAGCAAACTGTTGGCGCTATATAAATCCTGTATAATAATAATAATATAACCTTTTCTACATTTTATTCAAAACAATACAAAAAGGTTTTGGCTTTGCAAACACTTTGGGGTTGATTTACTAAAGTCAAATAACTTGTGCATGTCACAAGGTATTTGCCTGAGCTTGGTAACTGAGGTGGACCTCAGCTAACTTCCATCTTACAATCATGTGCAACTATTTTTTTTTATTCTCCCTACACATGATTGAGTATATTGTACAAAATGAATAGTTACTGTATTAATAAAACGAAGTGGAAATCTCCTTGCAAAGTGAACATGCTCTACTCATTTAGTAAATCAACACCTTTTAGCCAAAACAAGTTATATCATGCATTCTCCTCTTGACTTCTTTGTCAAGTAAATCTAATATACAAAGAGAAAATTTAGTGTTGGAACACCTAGATTACAGTAATACTCATAAAGACTAACAAATACAAGCAGAACTTGGAATTCGGGTTGAGAAACCTTACTGTTGGAATCTACAAAAATATATAAATGTATATCAACATAATTATCAGTTTGGGGTCAACTTTTAAACTGAGACCATTCATTAACCACTTGCCTACTGGGAACTTTTGCCCCCTTCCTGCCCAGTCCAATTTTCAGCTTTCAGTGCTGTCACACTTTGAATGACAATTACTCTATCGTGCAACACTGCACCCATATGAAAGTTTTATCATTTATTCCCACAAATAGAGCTTTTGGTGGTATTTAATCACCACTGGGTTTTTTATTTTTTGATAGGCAGCACTGATGAACACTGATGAAGCTGCACTGATAGGCAGAACTGATGGGCACTGATAGGCTGCACTGATGAGGCAGCACTGGTGGGCATTGATGAAGAGGCACTGATCTGGCTGCACTGATATGTGGAACTGATGGGCACTGATAGGCAGCACTGATGGGCACTGACTGGAAGCACTAACTGGTGACATTAACTGATGGTACTGATAGGCGGCATTGACTGGCAGCACTGGCGAGCGCAGATTGGCAGCACTGATGGGTACAGATTGGCAGCACTGATTGACACTGATGGGCAGCACTATTGGGCACTGATGGGCAGCACTGTTGGGCACTGATGGGAACTTTTGGGGCTGCACTGAAAATCAGTGCCCTGATTATCAGTATAGATGTCTCCTTTGACGGTTGTCGTCTATCAACAGTGACTATCGCACAGTAACAACTATTGCACAGTGACAGCATGAGGAAAGTACTGACGATAACTGGCAAGTGTATTTATATGGTGATTAGCTGTGATTGGACACAAATGATCATGTGATAAAAGGCCAATGTGACTGGTCTTTTACAGTGTCATGTGATCAGCGGTGTGATCAGCGGTGTGATCAGCGATCACAAACAGTGCTGGGTGTGCACCGCTGGGGAGCGCGTGCAGGGGGGGGGGTGTTTACTGGGAGGACATCATATGATGCTCTCCCAGAACTAGACGACCACTCTGTAGCCATCATTCGGCTATAGCACGGTCAAGAAGTGGTTAGTATTCTGCCAGCCTAGGTCTAGTCTCTTTATGGCATCACCAGAAAAAGTTAGTTTCAGACATTATTCTTTATATAAGGTACTACAAAATCCAGCAATGGATGTGAAAATAGAACAAAAACAGTGTTGCTCATTGACATCATTTTATTATTTTCATTTCATAGCCTGCACCAGTAAAATGACAGCTACAATTTGTCTGATTGATAAAGCCAATTCAACCACTTTTTCAAGTGATGACTAAGATCAAATTGGTTACTATTGGCAAAATAAATTTTCTGCTACTTGTGTTATGTAGTAGCATAATGAGGGATGGTAGTCAATTGTTTTAGAAGGTGGATATTCCCTTTAAGGTGTGAAAAAGAACCATACACAATAATCTATAAGAGTGTATTAACAGTAATCAAGCCTACTTACACAAGTTTAGTACCAATTAAAATCGTTAATGTCAGTTAACTGCCTAGTGTGGCACAATATACTGCGATGGCATTTCGGCATAGAATTTAATTGGTATCTACAGTAGGTAAAGAACAGTATGCACTTTGATTAAATGTATTAAAGTAGCTCATTTTATTACACATAATGTAAAATAAGCAGCTTGCATTCTGAAAATACATGAACATGGACTATAAATATAAATTAAAAGGCTATATGCCAGAGATAATTATCATTACTAATATATCTGTAATAATAAAGTTTTGAATGATAATCATGCAAGTGCTTTTGTGACAATGATTTAAAGAATAACAGTGCCATTTGGCAGTGTTTGAGTAAAAGGTGTTATTCTAGCTCGTAAGCAACTTATCTTTTTGGGACGCCTTATTTAGTCCAGCATTCCACATTCCTTTCCTAAAAAACTTGATGAAACTGGGTGATATTAAATTTTCATGTTTCTCTAGCTGCAGCTAAAAACTATGCTGGCACATTAAATATTCACTAGTAAATAAGAGACATTTTAGTGACACTAGCTGGGGATAGGCAAATGGAATGTCACATTCATTATAAAATATAGTTTAAATAAATAAAATTCCACATACATTTTTTTTAATACTTTACAATGATAGACTAGTTATGGACAGAGCACATAATGGCATTGATTCACTTATAAAATGTTCCATTAAAACCAGATTTATAGTAACCCATAAAAAAACCTATGTGAACATTGATTAGATTAATATTATCCTTTGTGCCATGTTGTTAACTACAGCTCCACATGTTTATTTATAATACAATACCAAACAGCAAGTACCCATGTAATGTTCTTAGGAGAACATAGCCTCTGGCAGAGCAAGTTACATTTCAAAAACAATTACAATGGTACCCTAATTTCCCTCACATTTTCTATTTCAATGGTTTTTATTAAATTTTTTAAACAGTATAAACAGAGGCAATAAAACACGCCCATGCAGGGGCTATCAATTGCACAGATAAACAAAATGCAAAATAAAAAAAAAGGGGAAAAAAAAAACAATGCTCTAATGCCAACAGGGCAAAAGGCACGCCCACGCAGGGGCTATCAATGGCACATAAGTTACAAAACATTAATGTAACTGATTATAACAACTAAATGCAGCTGTCCAGTCACACCAAAAACAGAGAGAGAGAGAAAAAGGAAAAGAAAAAAAAAAAAAGAAAAAAGAGGGGGGGAAAAGGGCAGGGATTCAAGAGCGCCAACACCGAACGCCATTACATCCCCAGACTAGCCGGGGGGGAGTGAGGGAAGGGCATATTGCAACCACGGCTCCCATATTTTCAAAAATTTACATTGGGAGTCGTTGCGGATACTCGACATCTGTTCGTTGAGCATCATAGTGGTCATACGATCCCGCACCCCCTGAAGAGGGACAAACGGACTCTTCCAGGCCTGAGCAATTGTTCTAGTGGCGGATAAAAACAGATAGGAAGCCAACTTCTGCTGGTGAGCCAAGAGGCCCGGTATGGGGCAATGAAGCAAAGCATACCGAGAATCCCGGCGTATGGAGAGATGGAACAAGGTGAAAAGGAGGCCAAATACATGAGACGTTTCCCTCACATTTTAAATATAACTGTTTGCTTTTCCATATTGTTAATATATTGACTATTTTATAATATCTACATGGAAAACACAGACCTTTCCAAATCAGTTTAAAGCAAATATCCTTAGAGGCACTACCGAAAGCTGTTATGCACCATGTTTAGCACCTTTTATTATGACAACACTGGGGGTAGGTAATGGAATACCTATTGAGCATTATAACTTGAAGAAGAATTATAAGCAGAATCTCTAACATTGGATGTTAGCAGTTTGGCTTCCAATGGCTATGGATTGCTACTGCTCAGCCTGGGTTCCACAGATGACGGCTTTGTGAATACATGACATGAACTTTTTATTTTACAACATGTGAGTGGCCAATTTGCTTTTTATTAATAAAATATACAATTTGCTGTACCCTCCTGTATCTTTTGCAGTATTACATATATTTATTTATTACAGGTATTTATATAGTACCATCAATTTATGCAGCACTTACATAAATATTGTAAATTCACATCTGTCCCTGTCCTCACAGAGCTTACAATCTAATGTCCCCAACTCAAAATTTATACATACTAGGGCCAATTTATAGAGGAGCCGATTAACCTACCAGCATGTCTTTGGAGTATAGGAGAAAAGAACCCAGAGGAAATCCACACAAGGCACAGGGAAAACATGCAAACTTCAGTCAGTAGTGCCATGGTTGGGATTTGAACTGACAACCAGGGGTGGACTGACCATTTGGAAACTAGGGCACTGCCTGAGGGCCCGGGGCAGTAGGGGGCCCCATGAGATGCCCCTGGTACCTTTTTCATAGGCTTTTTTGAGTTTGGGCAAGGACACAGGGGCCCCATGATCCCCTATTGCCCGGGGCCCCATGAGTTGTCAGTCCGCCCCTGCTGACAACGCTAGTGCTGCTAGGCGGAAGGGCTAGCCAGTTAGCCACTGTGCTATCTGAATATCACTTTGATCTGCTGAGGAGCTGCAATACATACATTGAATCCAGGTGGTTTTATTGCTCCATACCCTGAGCACAGATGAACTATACAGCTAGGCTTTTACCACTCTTGAGGTCACTGGCTATTTCTTGCACTATTATCCTATGCAGCATGATTACTTTGTATGTTGTACCAGTCCGGTTCAAAAGATGGCTGATACGTCATAGATACTTTAATATCAGCTGATGAATTCTTGATTGTTTATGACAGATCCACATTGAATCTGAAGATGTTAGCAAATATGGATTTTGTACCTGATGTAGATGTTGTCACTTCTAAATCCACTGATTTGCAAACAAAGCTTAAAAATCAAGAGGGTTTCAAAGCTAGAGTTTCTAATGGCATCACTCCATTGGGCATTACTGATTTTCAAACATATCAGTGGAACATGGGAATGTTTTCATTTGAAAGTGCCCAATGCTGCTGAGAGGATATAGTGTACATTCTGAACATCATGATCAAAACCTTTCATTATACAGCACTATTTTATCGCCTGTACAATACATTAAAGAATTCTAGCATGTAACTCAAAAATCTGAATTGCACTTTAAAAGCATACGTAGAATTTTACAGAAGCTATAGAAAATGATGAAAGCATTGACTTTGATGTATACATTTTGATTTAAATGGCTAAAAAAATGCCAAGCTCCAATAATATATTACAAAAGAATGACCTCTTAAGTACAGAGCGACAAGAAATAGTCATTAGGAATTTTGGGTAATCAGTATATAACTACTGACATTTTGGTTAGTCTCTACCTTTTTATTTCCTATGAAAATAACAAAATAAATAAATAAAATTACACATAAGCTATAATATATTTATTAATGCGCCTATGTTTTTTTTTATTTGTAGAGCAGGACCTGATTTTTAGTATTGGTTAGGTCAGAGTAGTTCAGCGTGTTATGTACATCATACTTGGCATGTGTTGATTCCGAATGATGTCATCAAATTGAATCCATAACACTGTAATAACATTACACTCATGAGGATCTTTAACAAGCATTTAGTTACTACACATAAATGTCCAGATTAACTGGGGTGGAAGCTAATGTCTTCATCTCATACATAAGGCCCAAATGTATTTGGACTGTTTTTCTGTGACTCCATATATATTGAGGCTTACACCAAAGATACCCAGCTTTAACTATAGTAAAACTTTCACAATGGCCTAACTCTATATGAGCCCTTCAAAGTGTTGTTCAAAAAGACATGAACTGGTGACTTCAAATTGATTTTAAATGCTTTTATCTTTAGTAATTGGCAGAATGTATGGATAGGACAGAGTAGCTCCAGAATGCACATTTCACTCCCTATAATTGACGCAGGTCTCTGTTTAGTACTGTAGTAACAATTTTCTGGACAATCCTGCATGTTTTAGGCTTCACCTGAGCCAAGGTGGGCAACATTACATTCACGTTAATTGGGGAGCAACACCTAAATGTATACCAAAATACTGTAAGAAAATATGCAGACAAAAAGTGCTGATATATGAGGATGCCAAAAGGTTTATGGTACACAGCTTTCCTAATATAAGATACTACCTGTCAACTCATTGCAAATACACACAAAGCGCATCCTATATAATCGAATCACTTTTGGTTTAAAGCTCACAGTGGTTCAATATGTTTGAGCCCACGCCAGTAAGGACCATATCCAGGCAAGAGTTGCTGACTGCTATATTATGTTATGTTTGTTGCAGGATTCACAGGTGATAAAACAGCCAAGGAGACAACATGTCAAACCACATAGCTTTGTATGTGTAATTCTTATGCTCCCTTGTCTCTTCACCAGCAACATATTCCTACATATCTTTTGTGCTGTTGCCTAGGAACCGATCTGTTCTCTATGTTGTTTGGCATTCTGTCACTTCCTTCGTTCCATCTGGTCATGTAACACTGCACAGTATT